ATTCAGGAGGGGGACCAAGGCCCTCTCAGAACTCTCAGATGGGCACCACACGGGACCAGTGAGTTTCTGCTTGTCGGTAGCTTCTGTTTGGTCATCTCCACTTGCCTGAGTTCTCCAAACACTCTTTCTGAAAATATCCATTCAAATGAAAGTACCTCCCTTACATGTGAAGACAGATGAAAAGAATTCATTTCACTTCTCGGTAGTCTCCTTATCCTCATTTAATACTGCCGGTTTGATAAAAATGTCGGTTCAGTGCGCTGCTGCTCAGAAAAAAGAAGACTCCAAGCTAGGCATAATTAGGAAGGAAATTGAAACTGAAATTTCCAAGATCAGCCAAACCTTTGGCGCAGCCACACTTGGGATATCATGCACGGTTCTGGTCACTGCCCTTGAAAAACCACTGAGCTGGGAAAAGGGCAGAGAAGGGCAAATAAATGCCCTAGGCCAGTGGTGGCGAAACTACGGCATGCGTGCCACAGTGCGCACACAGAGCCCTCTCTGTCGGCACGCGAGCCAAGTCGCCCCAGCATCTCCCCAGCAGCCTAGCATCAGGTAACAGCGCACATAGGGGCCATGTGCATGCTCGGAAAGGAGTAGTGCTGCCAGGTGATGACATCACGAGCCGCGACACATTAGCTGTGACTCGTCCGAGTTTTCGCATGGCTGGTCAGTGCGCTGCCAAGGATGGATGGATAGACAGGCAGGCAGGCAGATATATTTGCTTGGACTGGCTGTTTTCAGATTGTATTGTAGGGTTGGCACTTCGCGATAAATAAGTGGGTTTTAGTTGCAGTTTGGACACTTGGTCTCTAAAAGATTCATCAACACTGGGTTAGGGTTAGAAAAATGAGGTGTCCTGGCACAATTTTGATCGTTGGAATGCATTTAGAATGGGCAGAAATGATGAGCTGTGCAGAAAAAGCTACCAAAGGATGGCTTGTTCAAATTTGCATTATTTTCAAAGGTATTTAGCCCTGTATTAGGGTTAGGGGTGTGCACCAGGGTAGGGTTAGGGTTAGAAAAACGAGGTGTCCTTACATGATTTTGATGGTTGGAATGCGTTTAGAATGGGCAGAAATGATGAGCTGTGCATAGAAATCTACTCAAGGAAGGCTTTTCAAAATCACACCCTTTTCAATGGAACTTTAGCCCTATATTAGGGTTAGGGATGTGCACCACGGAAGGGTTAGGGTTAGAAAAAAGAGATGTCCTGGCATGATTTGGATGGTTGGAATGTGTGTAAAATGGGCAGAAATGATGAGCTGTGCAGAAAAAGCTACTCAAGGGAGGCTTTTTCAAAATCGCATTATTTTCAATGGAACTTTAGCCCATATTAGGGTTAGGCGAATGCACCAGGGTAGGGTTAGGCCAGTGGTGGCAAACCTGTGGCACGTGTGCCACAGTGCGCACACAGAGCCCTCTGTCGGCATGCGAGCCAAGTCACCCCAGCAGCTGAGCATCGGATAACAGCACACAGGGGCCATGCACATGCTCGGAAAGGAGTAGCGGCGCCAGGCAATGACGTCACATGCCGCAACTCACTAGCCGCGACTCGTCCGAGCTTTCACATGGCTGGTCAGTGCGCTGCCAAGAATATATATATTTGCTTGGACTGGCTGTGAGGTGTTTTTTCTAAACTAAAACCTCAGTTTTCAGGTTTTATTGCAGTGTTGCGATCAATAAGTGGGTTTTGGGTTGCAGTTTGGGCCCTTGGTCTCTAAAAGGTTCGCCATCACTGCCCTACATGAAATGCATACAAGAGCCCAGATGGTTTCACTTGGAAGAAAGCGCCAGAGGGGAGACATGATAGAGATGTTCCTACTTATGCCTGATGTGGAAAAAGTGTGGGGGGGGCATTTTTCTTCCTCCCCCAGGGGGGTCCTCACATGAAGCCAGGTGGCGGGAGAGTCAGGACAGAGCAAAGGGACTGCCTCTTTGAACAGCACATAATTCACTCCTGCAGGAAGGTGTGTTGGCCACCAGTTTGGGCAAGGAGCAGGGCCTGGAAGAGGCAGCTCGCCATGGCGACCAGTCCCGCCAGTCATGTGGTGGAGGCAGTGTGCGGGGGAGCATGGGAAAGAGGGTGCCGTCTCGACCCTGTCCTGCCTGTGGGCTTCCCATGGGCTGCCGGCTGGCCATGGGCGGACACGGTGCTGGATCTGGACACAACGCAAGGCTCTTGTGCCTCCTTATGCTTATCGCACGGCGCTGCTATCCCGCCTCGACTCCTCTTGCGAGGAACTCAGAGCAGTTCGCACGACCCCATTTCACGCTGATGGTGACTTCTGCGGCCAGACGGAGGATTCACACCAGGCTCGCACTGCAGGCTCGTGCAAAATGCCACGGCCAGAGTAATACCAGGCATCAGACAAACGGATCGTACAAGGCCAATCCTGAAGCCTCTTGCACTGTCTGCCTATACCTTTCCAAGCCCAATTCAAGAGGCTGCTTTAATATTTATTTTATCTTAAATTAAATTAAAATTAAACAGTTAAACATGAATGAAAATTAAATTAAAAATTAAATCCCTACATGGCTTGGGACCATGATACCTGACGGAATCCCTTTCCTGACCCCCTTCTACCCGGACACTTTGATCACCTTCTGGGGCCGACTTCTGACGGCCACCTCCAAGGGGGGCTCAAAGGACGACGACAAGGAGAAGAAGCTTTTCGGTGGTGGCCTCACAATTGCGAGGACCCCCTGGTACCAAGCAAAGATTGTCCTCTGCTGCAGGGCATCCAAGTCGCCTACTTGAGCCCAATCGGTGTTCCTAATAGGCCTTAAAATTTTCCACAAATTATTATACATATTAATTTGTTTTAAATTTAGTTTTTTGTATTGTAATCTTTTTAGGATGCTTTCCTATGTTTTAATATGGTGTATTTTCGGTAGCATTTTCCATGTGCTGGTATGACCTGCCCAAAGAGGTCTGGCTGCCGGGAGGTATAGAAATTAAATAAATAGCCCTGTGAGGTGGACTGGGCTGGGAATCTGTGGCTGCCCCAAAGCCACGGGGTGAGCTCTTCGGCCACGCTGGGACTCAGATTCGGATCTCCCAGGCCTCAGTCCGGCTGTCTTACCACCACCCCGCACCGGCCTTCTCCTGTGCCTTAAACGTACCTGAAGGAGCGCTTACATCCATATATGCCCGCCTGCCCGCCCCTTGAGATCGGCGGGAGAGGCCCTTCTCCAGGAGCCCTCCGTGAAAGAAATCAGGAGGGTGGGTACTCGGAGGAGGGCTTTCTCTGCGGTGGCGCCCAATCTATGGAATGCGCTCCCCAGAGAGGTCCGCCTGGCGCCGTCATTTGTTTTTCGGCGCCAGGCGAAGACCTTTTTATTTAAGCAGCGTTTTAATTGTTAATATTATTGGATTTTATCTGGCCAGGGCGACTTATTTTATATTTTATATTGTTATTTTTTACATTTTAACTTAATGTTTGTATTCTACAAACATTTTAATTTAATGTTATAATTTAATGTTTGTATATTTTTTAACTTAATGTTGTAAGCCGCCCCGAGGCTTCGGCGAATGGGGCGGCATAAAAATGTTTTAATAAATAATAAATAATAAATCCTATAACTGTTTAGATGGGGAAAAGGCGACATCTCCCAGCCTGCACCAGTGGTGGGGTCGCAGGCCTCTTTCCCTTTCTCCTATCTGTCCGGAATATTCCACTGATTGGCTTCATGGGAGGCCCACGTTGGATTCTAGCATTATGAGAAATCTCTCTCTGGTGTCTTTTTCCACACCAGGCATAATTGTGTACGCCTCTCTCATCTCTCCCCTTAATATACTAAATATATTTGTATACTAAATATGTTTAGTGTACTCCTTTGTATACTAAATATGTTTGGGGTGGGGTGAAATTCTGCACCTGTTGCATTATATGGTTTCACCATGTTTGCTTTTACAAAGCAAAAGTTTGGCCCCAAGCAGGAAAAATTCACACTGACCGATTAATGTGATGCAAAGCTGGAGCAGGAAAGCCGGGCGGGAACGTCTCTTTGGAGTTTGCTGTTCCCTGCCAATGTGCTTCTTCTGGGGAGAGTTCCATGGCGGAGCCCCCCCCCCCCCTTATGCGCGTCTCAGCTCCCTTTTTGGGAGCAAGCTGCTCTGGCTCAGTTCAAAGAGAATTTCTCTTTTAAAAGAGAAATATTATTAATACTAAGCCGGCCTTTTGTCTTTGGGCCAGTGGGATAGAGGGACAAAACCAAAGTGGATCCTCCAACTGGACGTTTTGCACCTCCGTTTGGTGGCCCTGAGAACAATTTCCTATCAGGCAAATAAAATATACTTACTTAATCTAAGAATGACTGGGACACAAAAGATGGGGAAGGTAACTGAGCACAAGCTGGGTTTCGCAGCTTCCTGACCGATCACTCCCAATTCTCTTCTCCACTTAGGAACTGTTCGGGCCTCACGCCACTGCTTTCCCTGGTTTCGGGAAGGCACCTGGGCCAGCACCACCGTCCTACCAATCCTCATCCTCCGCTCACACCTGTTTTCAGGCCAACAACCAGCTCCTCTCACCTTACAAGATGGGACAAAGATGGCCATCCGTAACAGGCTCAGAAGAGGAGAAAAGAGCCAAGAATCAGTGCAAACACCTAGCTGTGGGGAACATTTGCACCCGTTACTCTTAATACTCTTAATGCTGACCTGCTATTTGGTGGGCTATAATGGACTAATAACGGATCGAGTTGTCTTGGTACAAGCTGGGTTCAGGCAGCACTGGAAACGAGCGTCTCCTCTCCAGTCACAACCCTTTTCTGGATACAGCGAAGTTTATACAGCTGATGATATGGAAGCTTACCACAGGATGACTTTCTAAGCTGTATTGCCAGAAAAAGGATGCAAGAATATTATCAAAGTCTCCAGGCTGGGATGCAGTTTGGTGTGGGCACCCGACTCTCTCGCAGGAGGGATGCGGCCAACGTCAGCATGCGATGTCCGCCGATTGGATGCTAGTTAGTTCCACTGAGGCAGCACACGTGGAATAGTATAAATACTGAGAGCATCTGTGGGATTTCAGGACAGAGGGAGAGCAGCAGAGCGACTGAGGTAGGTAAATGGGCTTTTATGAAGCTGCTGGTCCTGTTTGTGTCTAGCAAGCTGCTTGGATGAATGTGCTTTTACAAGCTGCGTGAACGTGCGGTGATGTTTTACTGGCAGGGATATGCTCTGAAGATGTCACTTACAGCTGTAGATATTGATCTAACCCTGGCCCTTTTCTTTTGCCATCTTATTGAGTCGTTTTTCGAAGCATTTCCTCTCTCAACAGTCTCAGCAAATTCAGGGTGGTGCACAATGTAATACAGAGGAAAGAAAGCAGCCGGTGAAATTTGCAGATAAAACTTAGAAAACGTGAATGCAGTTGCAGCCGCTGAAACACGAGGAATGACTTAAAACCCAGGGGAAATCTACAGGGCCTTCGCTAGGCAAAACGCGGCAAATCAGGGGCCGTGCAATTCTCCTTAGGGACTGACTTCCAGAATTGGGGCAACACAGTTCTGCAAGTTGTGTTCGGCTTATTGCTACTGATACTTTGCCATTTATTTACTGTCGATTTATCTTTGGCATGGTTATGTCTTTTCATTTTGCACACCCCTTTGAGACATTAGCTACAAAAAAAAAGTTTCGTATTGGTGAGCTGTTCCCCTGGGCTTTGCTAGGATTTGTTTACAGACTGTGAAACGGAAAAAACACGCTCCCTTATTCACTTGTTCAAATGGCGGGGCATTTTGCCACATAAGTTCTGTCCAGACAATATTTGGGCAACTACTTCCCCAGGCTATTGGCCATCATTGCCAGATTGCGGTGATGCTGGCCTGCACTTAGCACCTGGTCTCTCTCTGCTGTGAGTCCCACGTCTTGCTTGGGGCCACTTAAACCTCTGCAAGAGCTTATTCAGAAGTGCCTCTGCTCAGAGGGAAGGAGAACGGTGCCCATCTTGGCTACCAGTGTGACGAGCAGGAGCTGATGTGAGCCAGGGCACAGGGTCTTAGGAAAAAGCGCCCTTCCACCGCAATTAAGCGGCTGCTGTCGCTTTGCTTGCTGCGCAGGATGCGACATCAACAAGGCATCTTGCTTGTCTCTGCACCCCAACTGAAGGCATCCCTGCTTGCAGCTAGTTTCAGGGCCGGGGCAGCCCGGCTTCTGCCCCTGCCATGCCGCTGCATTCGCTGTTGAGAATTCAGGGAGCGGGTTGTGGGAAGAGCCCGGAAGGAAGCACGTGGTCCACGGGCCACGGCTTGGCTGGTGCTTTCGTAGGCTCTGACTTGCATGCGTGGTTCTAACTCTGTGGCATGGATTCCACTGCAACTGCGGGCTTTTCCCTCCGGTGACTGGCACGGCTATTCTTTCCTGTTGAGCCAGTATTCGTCGTGCCATCTTGTGGGTGCGCAAGATGCTCTGCCGAGGGGCTTCGATTTATTTGTACGGCCTTTCAGTGTTAAGAGGTGTCCTGTGAGGCAGCTTAGAAAAATATACAAAGGGGAAAATGCAAAAACTAGGCGAACGCACCTGGGTTTAAATTGTCAATCAATTCAAAAAGAGGAGGTAAGACTGAGACGAGACGCATACACAAACGAGCACTTTTCCAGTTCCTCTGCAACGGGCCAGATAGGTTCCAGCTGGCGGGGCCATCCTCGAAAAGGCCCCGTCCCGCATACCCACCTCACCTGCAATGGAGACAGAACATGGGCCAGAGTCTCTCCAGGTGATCTGAACAGGTGGGCAGGGCCAAAGTCCTTAACTCCTTGTCTACTTCTCACATGGCCTCCTGGGAGAAGCCCTTGCAATGCTTGTCCTGAGGATTGCAGCGCTCTCCCTCTCCTTCTCTCTCTCCCTCTCCAGACATCACTGAGGCACTGGGACTCGGGACGAAGCCATGGCACGCCGGGCGTCTCTCCTGCTTTCCTTCTGCATAATACTTACAGTCAGTCTGCACCTCTCAGAAGCACAGCACTGGTCCCACGGCTGGTACCCCGGGGGCAAGCGGCAGGCTGACTCAGCCCAGAGTCTGGAGGTACGCGGGAGCGCCCTTCCCCCTGCACCCCCCTTCTCCAACCCGCTGAGCCACACAAACCCACTTTTCTCTCCCCCCTCTGAATCCAGCTCTCCGAAGACCTCAAGCTGTGTGATGGAGACGACTGCACTTACCTGAAGATCCCACGAGATAAAATCGTGAAGAGCTTGCTGGTAAGCAAAGGCAGCGGCACGCGGGGTGGGGGTCCGTCTGGGAAGCTCTGCAGAAGGGGCTGGGCCTTCCCGGGCTTTGCGCCTCACCCAGCACCACCTTCCCAGGCAGCGCCCACGGAATACCCATAGCTGGGAGGGCGACACTCGACGCAGCCGAACGCTGGTGGCAACAGTATACTGGGTTACAGGGGCCGTTGATCAGCTCCAGTCAGGCTGTTCTAGTATCATTTGGACTATGCCCTTTCCTCACAGGTAGTCAACACCTGTCCCAGGGCAAGACACAGCTTCAGTGTTTTTTTTAACCCTAAGTAGTTTCCATATAAATGTTTAAATGGCATAAAAAAAATCAGGACCAGATCTGGGTTGTAGTCGCCACTAGGCCATGACGTTTGTTGGATGACTTTCGGCCAGGCAGTGCTGCTCAGCCTAACCCACCTCACAGAGTTGTTGTGAGGATTAAACGGACACGGGGAAGGGTATAGAAGACACCTTGAATTCCTTGTATAGACAAAAACAGCCTGAGAGCCCACATGGTATCATGGTGAAGAGCGCAGGACTGGGACCCAGGAGATCTGGGTTCAAGTCCCTGCTCAGACAGAGCGCCAACTGGGTGACTTTGGGCCGGTCACAAACGCTCAGCCCAGCCTACCTCACAGGGTTGTTGTTGAGGTAAGATGGGGAGCAGGAGGAGGAGAATGCTAAGCTGTTTTGAGTTCAAGAAAGAAGTGGGATATAAATCTAATAAGATAAAACCAGCATGGTTTAACTGCCAGTCCGGGAAAGCCAGGTGAACCGGTGCATTTTCAGATGTCTGAATGATGGCAAGTGTGGAGGAGCTTTTTCACAGGGTAGGCAGAATCTTCCCCAGACAAAAGGGATGCAGCCTGTCCCTATAGCCATTGACGGACACCAGATCTGCTTCACCCTTCCCCAAACTGACATGCTGCAGATATGTTGTACTACAGTTCACATCATTCACAGCTGTGGAGCACAAACACATGCTGCAGGATCATACCTTTTGGACTAGAGTAGCTCCTACATTCTGGGGAAAAGGGCCATTGCGTGTCACTGATGTGTCAACCTATTTATTTCGACAGGTCGACATGCTTGCAAGGCAAGTTCAGAAGAAAAAATGATGCCCTTCTATGCATTACAGAGTATTTTTGATCAAAGCAGATGGCCACGTCTCTGAACTTAACCTGTTCTGTTGGTAGAAGCAATGTACCCCTGCCATTATGATGTTTGTATGACCATGGTAGAAGTCCGTCCTCAAATTCCCAGCATGTAAACATTAACTACTATACTGTTGTCCAGTGGAAGAGTTGTGAGTTTTCCGCACTTGAAAAACTCTGCTATACTGATTAAAATATTTTATTTTGCTACGGAACATGTGTATCTTGCACATATTCAAGTGTTTGTTACCATGTAAATGTTTTACGCCAATTGTTGAGGTCCAAATTTAAGGATTGGGTCTAGCTGGGGCACAGACTGGCCCTGATCCTGCAAATAGGTTCTGATCCTCAGCGGATCTCCTGTGTGCACCTTCGTCATCCTGCTTCACGGAGGAATCCTTTGATCCCTCCCAAGACTTGCTTTCTGTGCCCATGCCCCAATTCTGCATTACCAGGACCCCCAACTGTCAATGGGGTACCGGTAGCGCAGAGTTGTAGCTTCAGTACCACTGACTCCTGTGCACAAGTCTTGGGCTTCAGTCCGAAATTCAGCCACTGACACCCATCTATTTCCAAGGGGGAGCTGAAGCTGGAATGAACCGAAGCACCAAAGCCACCGCCCAAATAATGCGTCTGCTAAGGCTGTGAGCCAGTACAGTTGCTCTCCCTTGGTCTCTAGCAGCTGGAACAAATATTTTAGATGGGAAGATTTCTGTTAATCAAGTTCCTTCTTCACATAGTATATAGTCATGAAATCTGCTGTCACAAGGCGTGATGTTTGTGACCAACTTGGGTGGGTGTAAGAGAGAATTTGATAAATTCTTTGGCTGAGTTCAGACAGCATAAGCCATGGGTGCTTTTTTTAAAAACCACTGTTGGCCCTTCGTCTTGTCTGAACCCAAGATCATGGTTTCCATGGTCCTGGCCTCCAACCACCACAGAGTCCCCTGGAAAGACTGGCGTCTGCAGGAGGCACTCCAGCCATTCAGCCTCTATGTGCAGGCCAATGAGGAAGAAGCAGGTATGTAGTCAGGGAGCGATGAACCTTGGGGCCATGGGATTCAGGCCAGCAGCGGGAGAACTGAGCAGGGAGAATGGAAACCGTGAGAACGCAGGAACCACTTGACCATCCATTGGGTAGAGCATGGTAAGAAGTGCAAGCCACACAGGGGTGTTCCTCTCGTTCTGTGGCCGACACAACGGAGGATCCACCCATCAGGGGCTGCTGCCGTGTTGGCTGTATGCTAGTGGTGGGTTCAAAGGACAGCCTGCTTCGGCGGGGCTCTTGCCTGCACGTCCGATTCCACTGGCCACAGGAGAAACAGGGTGCTAGACGCATGCAGAGGTTGGTCCGATCCAGCGGGCCTTCTGCTTCCTCCTCTCCAATTCTTATTCTGCACGAATACTGCCTTCGCTCTGAGTCAGCAATGCAGCATAAACAAACCTAAGTGATCGGGTGACCAGCTGGGGTGCCTGCCTCCCGAGGCCGGATGCTGCACGAAAGTGGGGAACAGCTAAGAGGCCACAGATAACCCCGAGGACCAAAAAATTATACATGCCGGGCTTGGTCCCCTGAAAATGCAGCACATGTTCAGTGCAGCGCCCTTCACTGCTTCTCGTACAAGAAGCAGGCGTGGATGGAGAAAACGCACAGTCTTAAAACAATTAACACCACAGTTTCACCCATTCTAAAGGAAAGCCAGAGAAACCGAATTAGCATTCTGGCACAAACAAATTCTAAAAGACGGTCCATGCTCTTGCACTTGAGAGTTGTTACATGCCATCAAGGCATCTCCAAATTATGGCAACTCCGCGAATGAAAGCCCTCCAAAAAGTCCCGGTCACAATTTCTTGGGAAATTCGCATTTGATCATCGTTTCCCTCTTCTGCCTCCGACTTTCCCTATAATGACTCTGGAAGGAAGGGTTCCTTTTTGCTCGCCCTCTTGACAGACCTGGGCGAAGGCTGTGGAGCAGGGCCACATCCTTGCAGGGGCCACGCATGCCGTGGCACTAGTGCTAGCATGGCAGCAACCGACTTCCACAGAGAAGCCAGCGGCAGTGGCAAAGTATTCCTTTAAAGGACGGCAGAGTGTGGGAGCACGAGCAGCCCCTCGTTCGAGTTGCCACTGTTGTTGTTGGAACAGAAGCACGTGCTCCAAAGTGCAGGGAATGAACCGGATACCCAGCCGGTGCCGTAAGGTACGTCAGTCCACAGAACGAATCCAGCCCTCTGATGCTTTGCAGATGGCCACCCCTCTTTCCCTGCTCCTGAACCCTTTAACCAGACCAGCTCCCCCCCTTTAAAAAGCTGAAAGACTCAGTTACTGGCAGGGAGAGGTTTATGCTTACACAGATTGGCCATGTTGGTATTCCTATCCCTCTCCTGGTGCACCCCTTATTCAGCACTGGAAAGCAGCTCCTGAGAGCTTTTCTGCACTACTGGAGCTTTAAGTGCAGGAACCATGTTAAAAACATGGGGGCGGGGGGGCGAATCTCTCAGCAAAATCAATTCCTTTTTATTCTCGCAAAACAGGAAGGGTTCCCCTCCAAGAAGAGTCTGCAAAGATCTGGAACCACAAAGCTCCAGACAAACCCTCTTCAAAGTGAATTGGACAGTGTGGAGTGAACACAGCCCCACTGCTCTCTCGAAATGCGTCTGATGGCTGGAGGGAACAGGCCACGAGGGCCCCATACAGGTTATCCCAGAAACCCAGATCCCTCTGTCAGGAAATCCTCAGGGCAAGACACTCCTCTTGGCTATCCTTCCTTCTTTATCAATGGCGAAATTGTAGCTGCGTGGGTTGTTCAGACACTCCTCGATCCGCTGATCCAGGTTCTCAGGCGTGATGAAGTTCTTGGCTTCCTCCTGCATCAAATGGGAAACAAGGAATCATGCTAAATAAAGAGTTAAAAATGATACGCTGGCATGCGCACTGCGGCGCATCTCAACCTCTTCCTCTGCCGGCTCTCATTACCAGGAAAACGCGCTAGCCACTCCACCCCACTCCCCCTAGTTTTGGCCACCACTGGTAGCCACTGACCTTCCAAAGCAGCTGCTAATGGGGCCAGGTAATCCAAGCTCTGGCCACCCTCCTGACTCTTCCTTTATTTTTAAGGCTGCCCGCCTTAAAAAGGGAAGTCACCCGGTCCAGTAGCAGACTCCAACGCCTGAAGCAAGTGAGCAAGCCTGACAGACGTGCCACGCAGGGCTCCTCACCTGTAGTTGCAGGACCTCGCTCTCCCTCTCCTTGAGGAATTCTTCCATAAGCATGGCCCGGTTCTGGGCTCCCTGCAAACGACGCTCCTTCTTCAGGATCGCTTCTTTTCGGAGGCGCTCCTCCCTAGGGTAGGAGCACAGAAGGCACAGAGCGCTCTCCATCTCGGGTATGCCCAAAATAACGGGGAGCAACATGTGCCTCTTTTCTTTTGTTTTGGACAAATGGGAGGAAGGGAGTAAAGAACTGACACAGTCACGATTTGAACCCAGCCAGATGCTAGACCTGACTGGGCCTGCACAGCCTCAAGGTGGCCGGCCCACCAGCCTGCTTCGCAGCCCCCCCACGTTGTGCCAGCCCCCCAAGCACATCGGCAGACCAGCATGTTCTCACTTTTAAACAGAGCGTGCGGAGTTTTATCAGCGGGCCTCTGCGCAGCCCCTGGTGTGTTCCAAGGGGAAGAAACTGGTCTCAGGCCTTTTAAGGTTGCCACCCTGCTGTGTGTGTGTGTGTGTGTGTGTGTGTGTGTGTGTGTGTGT